CACACCTGATATAGGGTGTTGATGTCATTAGACCACACCCCTTCTCATTACAGAGATGCACATCACCTAATATGCTTAATTGGTAGTAGGTTTTCGAGCCTATACAGCTTGGAGTAAGACAACATGCATGAAGAGGATGATGTGGACAAAATACTCATTTGCCTAATAATTCTGCACTCCCTGTATTAACATGGCACTGTTGGTCAGAAGAATGCTGGCTTAAAGAAATTGCTTGTTTCAGACAGGCAATGAACCGAGGAGCTCCACAAAAGCTCATTTTAAACTGAATCACGAAAATGGGCTGTGATGAACCTACCAGCAGATACGCATCCCACTGTGAACCGCTACCAAATTGGCAAAAAATAAAAGTATATTACAAGTTCAATGTGAGAAAAATAATCTCAGCTCATTGTATTTTGGCAGCTCTGATTGAGTACAAGAATATTAGCAAGAAGACTCTGCAGGAGAGCATTAAGAGCGAGATGTCTGGAAACCTGGAGAAACTACTTGTGGCTGTTGGTGAGCAAAATATTACATCACTGCCTTGTTGTTATCGATGTCTTCCTTGTCTGAGCATTTAAGTTAATTTAAAAATAATATATGAACTCATTTCTTTTAGTTAAGTGTGTGCAGAACGTCCCAGCATACCTCGCTGAGAGGCTTTTCAAGAGCATGAAGGTGAGTTGTGCAACTGGTCAGTTTGTCCATCTGTGTCATGATGGCCTTTCTAAACCTCTATGCACATCAGAAATGTCTGCCCAGCAAAATTCACATTCTGTATGGTTGCATCATACCCTTTCAGTCACAGCAGACTGTATTGGTCACCAGTGATGTGGAAAGGAATGCTGACCACATTTTACTGTTAGTGATTTGACCAGCACAGCCAACACTGACTGAAATGTGTCAACAGTCTGAATAAGGAAGCGTAGCCTAACTTTTGACAGTAGTATTGCAAAAAAAATAACAAAAAAACGCCCCCCCTGCATCTTCACATGTGTAAAAGGCCTGCGAGCCAAATGTGGCCCTTTGTAGATTTCAATCGGGCCTGCATATAAATGTCTATAAATTATGGGAAATCTGGTCATAACTATCTGCATAGCATGTCTGTCTGTGCACATGCCAAACCAAACGCACTAGTGCAGCATCACTGCAACGTAAAACCAGAAGTCTGCATAGTAACAAGCTACATCATTGAGTTCATGCCCATGTCAGACAGAAATATGAACAAATTTTAACTTTCATTTTGATTATAATTTATTTTAATTAAATATGCCATTCTGTCAGAAGTTGTAAAACAGGTTCTTACCTGTAAGGTAGCCTGCATTGTATCTTGTTGAGACCATTTTTCTATGTGGAACAATACGAAATTAACGCATGCCATACCATGTCTAGCCAGAGTTTGAAGCCCCTGGCTTAAAGGACGAATGTCTTTGTTTTCCAAATTATACTTGGTCCAGGGTGCAGGGACCACAGAGTGCACTCTGACCAGGATATTCGTCAGTCGCTCAGAGATCGATTTGATAGACATCAAAGTAGAGTACAAGAAGCTGTTTGGATGTTCCCTCTACAGTCAGCTAGAGGTCAGTATTAACAGGAGTTATGTTATGAATTTATAACCTTAACATAAACATGTTTAAATGTTAACTTTTGTTTATTGTGGTGTGTGTCACAAACACCCAATTCCTTTCGTTTATCTCTCCCCATCCTTGTGTAGTCTGAAGTGTCCGGTGATTATGGAAAAACACTCAAGTGTCTGTGTGGCCAAGACGAATAACTCGTACCAGCTCCTTTGTTGGGTCGTTCAGCTTTACATCACAGCAGCTATGATGACCTGTTCCTGACGTAGCGACCAGCTACTTATCTCAAGAATAACTGCATACTGATATGATTGATTGAACTAGTTAGGAAATGTAACTAATTTTCATGAAGTTATTAAACCCAATAATAGCGCTTAAATGTCTGATATCTGTTAACTTCACTTTTCTTTTATACACACAAATATCTGTCATAACTTTTGCATTTAATAAAAACAAAAGATGAGAACACTTATGAAAAAATAATTTATTTCAAGGTTTTGCTAATGTTGCTGTATCCAACGCCTACACAGGTCATCAGGACCTTGTCGCCCCCTTTCCGTTCGTCTTCTAAAGGCTTCTGGACCTCAATCTTGAACATAATCTGGAAGAAATCTCTGATGTGTCGGAGGAATTCGATCCTGTATAGACAGAGAAAGGAGAGTTTCATGTTAATAAAGATCAGCCACCACATTTCTCATACATACCAAGTTTTTAAAAGCTAAAAACTTAAAACAGATTTTGTTTTTAAAACTGTAAGACTTGACAGAAATGATCCAAAACGGATTTAGTGTTACCTGAATAACAGGAAGAGTGTATTGTGATGGCACTGCCAATCTTCAGTTATCATAGTACTGTACTTGAGAGGGACACAGCACCGGTACCATGATAACTGAAAATGGACAGTTCATAGTTCGCTCCTCATTCAAGAAGACGGACATCTGGAACAAGGTTAGTGCTCAGCTGTTTTTATACTGCTGTACTTTTATTTTATTTGGGTTGTTTGCAAATAATCAAACACACAAATTATGCATTTAAAATGCAGCACACACAAATAGGTTAGAAGTAGAAGCAGGGTAACAGAAACAAGACTCAGACTTTATAATAATTTAATCAATACTGTGAAATATTTTATAAACTACAAAAATGTAGTTTATCAAAACATTATCTTAGGTGCCGCCCATTATGAGCCTAATAAAAAAATCCCTCCAAAGCCATGTGAACCTGAACAGTTGAATCTGATTGTACATGTTACTCAAAGCAATCAAATTAAAATTGGGCTCTGAGTAAAGAAACCCTTGTGGTTGCATGCCACCATCAGAGTGCTCTTAGCAGAAACCCTGAATCTTTAGTGGAGTGGGTTAAAGTTCAGTGGAAATAGATTAATTTTGTGTTCATTTAAGAAATGCAGCCTTTTTTCTTTCCTCTCTGATCATCCAGCTGTACAGAGTATTATTCAGCTTCTTATTGTGAACTTTGGGATATTTTCATCTGCCAAAAGAGGACTAGTAGAAGAATAATTAAACGTGGGATTGAGTGGGTTCCTCATTTGCCGTCTGTACATTTAACTTTTGAATGGGTCTTACGTGTATGGGGAGAGGGGTCCCAGGAGAACCTTCGACACGTCCTGTTGGCCAAGGGTCATCAAGAGCAGCGCCAAGCTCTGATTGGATGAATCCACGCAGCCACCCTAAAACAGAGAGAGAAAGGAGGGCGGGGGTCATGTGTCAGCAACTAAAAACTACACTGAAATGCGTCAAGGAGGTGGAAATGTTTAGAGAAATCAACTTCTTGACAGTGGGATTGTACAGTGAAAGCTGTGTAGATTTGTTTGTCTGACTTTTCATTAAAAAAAACTAAACTTTTTTCCTATTAAATATAATTAAGCAGTCTTGAAACAGTTTGGCAAGTTGTCACTAAAGTGTTTTTTCTTCTTTCGTGCTCACATAATGTATTAGTCGACTTTCCAGTCATCTTCCTACCATTTTCCCAAATGACACTAACACTCCCAATTCCATCTACATGTTAAATATTTAGACAGATGATGCACTCTCAATATCCAAGAGAGCACATGCCATTGCTCTAACAGAGCTCAGTCTGCGATTTCCCACTGTGTGCAATGCACAACTGGACACACCCAAGAACATTTTATAGTCTGACCTTTAAAATAGTTGTCCGCTGGTAGTTTGAGTTATTTCTTGACATGCGATATGCAGCATTAACCTGATCCGTTGTAACAACGTACTTGTGTAGCTCAGTCATGCTCAATTATGGCATCATGACAGCTCGTCAGCAGAATTTTGATTCAATTACATAATCATATCATGGAAACCATGGTGACGGTTTCATCATTTATTAGGTGAAACACATTACAATGACTTGTTGTTAGAGGTTTACCGTTGTTAGTCTATGTTTATCCCTGTGCTGTCCGCTCTGATACTGCATCTCATCTTATCCACTCTGCTATTTTACACTTTAATCTTCTCAGAGCTGCTCTGGAACAAACAGGAAAAGAAACCTAAAACTGTTTCTGAACGAACTAAGAAACATGACACAACAGCGCCATTTCTAACCACCAGTTTCAGGCCCTGCCTTCCAGAGACCGTCTCCAGAGGCCATCAGCCAACCACAAGGCCTAATGGAAAAGTCCCTTAATTCCTTTGAATGAAAGTTAATCCCTTTCCCAGCCGCTCAAAAACAGACAGTAAAGCACATAATTGAGGGTTAACTTCTAAGCATCACAGATATATTTGACCTGAACCTGTAGATCTATATAACACATATTGATTTAAATTCACTAGAAATGATAGATTAGGTAATACAGAATTATTTTTTTTTCACAAGTTGCCCAACAGGTGAGGAACATAGTGTTTCCTAAGCAAGCTTATGAATTCATTAGCATTAAATGAAAATTAATGGACGCTTTCTCCACAAACCTGTTCCATGATCACCAATACAGTTAATCAGTTGGAAAACAATGCAAAAAGCAAAGACAAGTGTGGTGCATCCTGCAAAGTATACAAAAATTAATTCCATGATGAAAAAAAAAAGTAAAAATTGAAAGAGTGCACCACTTACGTCAGCTCCTGTGTTGATGCTGCTTCCAAAAACAAAATGTCCATGGAGTAACTGGTTTACAACTAGAAGACCGTACTGATTAACCATAAAACAAACAGAGCCAAACATACAGGGCACCTGCGCCCTTTGATGTGAACTGGGCAAATTTCCTCAGATTTCAAAAACAAAGTATTCCTGCCCCGCAAAATAAAATTAAATCCTTTTAACTCCAGAGTTTTCTTTTTGCTTCTCAGCTCTAGCAATCACTCTGTCCTCCTGCTACAGTTCGGTATAACACATAGCAGTAATTTAAATGATCTACCTGTTCTTCCAGCAGCGGCTAAAGCTTTTAAAAAGCCAAGCAACTTAAAGTAGAAGGCCCCTGTTAACCCACCACCCTCCAAGGAAGCTAACGAGAGATATTAGCTCTGCACTCTGTTGCCTGGAATTAAGAGGATGTAGCCAACAATATTCCCCTTTCAGAGATAATCAGCACTACCCTGATCAGCTAACTTGACTCACATGGCTCCTATGAGAGGCTGGGAGAGGCAGAACCATGTGGAGGCAAACATGATTCACAGACTCTCATTGTACGTATTCTGATGAAATGGCTTTTTCCTGTGTGGCTATGCGACGTGACGGTTTACACACAGCAAACCTTTCACCACCTTTCAACACACAGATAACTAAATGAATAAAACTAATTTTTTAGTTTTATGTGGTCACAACCATCAGGCATTTCTAATCGATTAAATCTGTTCAAACGCAGCGTATTCAGCTGACACGTTACCCAATCGGCTCGTGTATTCGAAGAATTAAACAATTTATGAGTGCAGATCCTGTCATTGGACATGAGCTGTAAGTTTGAAAGAAACTGGGGCAATATGTAAATGTACAATTATAAAAATGCTGATACCTTCCCCAAAGAATCTGCCTCTCTTCCCAGGACGGTTGTTGCTTGTTTGTCAAATGTGTGCCCCACTGCACTCTGGAGCCACAAATACTTATATACTCCGTTGTGATAATGGCCTATTGGACCCCATACTTCACCATTTTTTTTCTTGTTAATACAGTTTAAAATTGAAGAAATGACTGATTATACAGCATTAAATTACACTTTTTACATATTGAGGGAGCTAATTACTTGATATTAAGGCAGAACCCTTTGAGGCTATTATAGATCTGAATGTACAAACTTAATTTTGCCATTTTCTTGGTCTTCAGTCTAGTTTAACTTAAAAATCTAATTTGATTTCATGTCAGATGTCTCTCAAATGGTTTTCCTCAGTTGACACAGGCTGACTTCTCCTCCACAAAAAACACACCATGAAAGTTTTCATGATTACTTTTTTTTTTTTTTTTTAAACATGATGCCCTAATTAAAAGTAGAAAATGCAGTCAAGTGCTCTAAAATCTACCTAAACAAAAGCTGCTCTCTACATTGCGGTCTGTCCACAAACAAGTTTCTTTCAATTGAAATGCAGGCGAGGTTTATTACCAGGGAATGCGGGTAAACAAGTGCAATGTCATTTTTGCCTAATGTGTGCTGACAGTGTATCTCAGGTATTTCCCAAGAATTCAGGAGTTTTATTTCAGCAGCAGCAGCTTTTCCAACATTGTTTCAAGCCCAAATTTACTTTAAATGATAAGAGAGTCCCCAGCACAGTAAAAAAAAAACAAACAAAACTAACAAAAAGTGGAATTATGAATGAGTTCAACTTTGTAAATATAATGCTGTAGTCTTCGCGATAGAAAATCTACATCGATGAACTCGGTGGCATGTGCTCTAAGACTGGCTTATATCTAAAAAGAATAGTGTTGGATTCACAACTGCAATAAATATATAAATATTCTACAACATTCACTATTCACGATGTCAAGCTTTATTATGTGTACACAAAGACAAACTGGGATATGCACAAGAACACGGTGCACACAGTGCGTGTGTGTGCTGCAACTTTCCCTCTGAGAGGAGTTTTTACAGACTTTACACTGCCTGGTGGGCTGTTTGATGCAAAATTGTCCAAATCCAAATTCCTCACGCTCTTTCTTCCATTTCATGTTGTCAACATCTGATGTTTCACTGTTAAAGCTCACATATGAGTGTCTCATAAAACTGTGACAGCTCACCACAAACGATGTTAAGAGTTGCTTGTGAGGGAGCAAATGGAAGCACATTTAAATACAGCCGAGCCCTTATGGTAATGTTTCAGTCGACAACTAGCAGACTTGATGAAAACGGGCAGAAATCAGCTTTTCCTGCTTGTGATATGCAAATAAAACAGGATAGGCTTGTTATTTTGAACGGCAGTTGCCTTTAGATCAACTAGTTAATTAAAGCACTTTCAGTTACCTGCATTATTTAGCCTTTTCAGACATTGCCAGATTTAACAGTCTGTTATGCTGACAGTATTC